CCAGACAGGACCCTGGTGAATGGCTCCAGGTGGGTCCCCATCCCCAGCGAGCCTCCTCAGTCTCCGAGAGGCTCCCGCACCAGTGGCCATGCCGGACGGGAGCCCCTAGAACAGGAGGAGAAGCCCGAAGCCAATGGCACCCTGCCACCCAGCATCTTTGGGCCGAAGAAGAAATTCCGACCCGTTGTCCAGAGACCCGCACCAAAGGACACGTCCCTGCACAGCGCCCTGATGGAGGCCATCCACTCAGCGGGCGGGAAGGACAGGCTTCGCAAGGTGAACGGGCAGGCACCTGCCTGCAGGGCACAGGCACCCGTTTCCTACCTGTCGCTCCCCACGTAGATTCTCAGGTGGCATCGGAGGAGGAGGGGCGGGACAAGCTAAGAATGAGGGAGGCGAATGCTGGGGTTTAATTTCCACCAGGAGCTTCGCCTTGCTGCCTGCAGAGTATTTAGAACCACAAAAGAGACGAAAGCAGATGGGTTTGCAGTTGTCCGAACTGCCTTTAAGACCCTGACCCCCTGGGGGGAGATGTGGGCGGTAAAGTGTCCGTACCTGGGGGTCGCCTCATCCATAACTCAGAGTGAGCAGATAGAGACTCAGGCCCCTGCCGGTCATTCCTGCATGGTTAGCGGGGTCTACTGTCCTTGTTCGGTAACGGCAGGGACGGAGTTTATGACACCCGACTCCCCTGTCCAGGCACTTAGCACCAACGCTCAGCTTTGGGAGCCATCTCCATTCCACAGGGGCGGAAACGGAGGCACAGTGAAGTCAGGCGAGCTGGCCCACGGCCACGCTGCCAGCTAGTGGGGACCCCGGGCCCTCGTTCAGGTCTGCAAAGCTTCAAGGCACATATCCGCTCCAGAAGCTACACCAGTATCAGGAGTCACACGACATTAAGAGGCCACCGTCCCATGCCACCCCACACACATGCGCTTTGGTCGTTAGATGGCGTGAGGTCAGTGTGGAATGTTCACGCCCTGCCCAACGGCAGAAATACATTCTACCTTCCACCAGCAGGGGCCGTAAAATCGATCCTCGAGCCCTCACCTCCCTCACCTGATAGGTATCGCTTTCCTCTGGTGCTGCCCTATGCTTTGCCTTTCTCCTCCTTCCCGGGGAAACGTGTTGACACTGTGAACGTTCCAGATTGCAGAGCACGCGTCGGAGGCAGGGCCCAGGAAGCCGTCCTGCAGGGAGGCAGAGGGCGAGCGCTCGGCCCTGCTGGCGGCCATCCGAGGGCACAGCGGTGCCCGCAGCCTGCGGAAGGTAAGACAGGGCCTCCCGTGGAGGGATGGCTTCGCACCCCCGCGCCCCGCGGCGACCCACGCGGGGGCTGCAGCTAAGCCGCCATCAGAGCGGGCAGGCCAGCAACCATGGAGGCTGGCGCTGAGGGGCAGCACCCCGCGTGGGAGAGGCAGGCGCATCGGGGAGCTGGCCCCCGTCCCTCCCTCCCTGCCCGCCTGGGACACAGCATGTCTGGAGCTCCCCAGCCCCCAGCGTGGCTGCCGGGGGCTTGTCTCACCTCCGGGACAAAGTTGCCGGTGCTTTGGCCCGGATCTGGTACAGCCTGGGAGCCAAGGTGGACTCAAGCGCAGGGGCAGGACTGTGCTATCCGGCTTCTAGTCTCAGAATCCGAGGAACAGCGCGGGTGTATTACCCACCGAGGGAGGCACGCAGCCTCCCTGACGGCTGGGCGCTTGGTCCTGGCCTGTCCTCACACCGAGATGGGGCAGGGGGGCAGGGAGTGCTCCGGAAGGCTCCCCGAGATGGGCGCCGGCTGGGGACCTTGGGGGCGAGCTCGCACGCCTGCCTCCCCGGCTGAGGCAGCACGTCGCCCCTCCGAAAGGCCCTCTGGGACCTTGTCCTTTGACCTTCTCGTTGTTTAGGTGTCCTCCTTCGCCTCCGAAGAGCTTCGAAGCTTCCGAGACGCAGCGCTGTTGGAACGCAGGCCGGAGCCGCCAGGCCTGGATGACCTTGGCGTTCGGCCCCCGCCCGCCCTGCCGCCCCCGCCCCCTCCGGCCCCCCAGGCTCCCTCCATGTCCAGGCCGGCGTCCAGGTCCAGCTCGGGCAACCCGGCCGAGGCCAGGCAGGCCTTGATGGACGCCATCCGCTCGGGCACAGGGGCCGCACGACTGCGAAAGGTGACCATGGGTGACCCTGTGAGCGTTCGGGTGGGGCAAGGGGGAGGTCACCACGGAGCCCCACGGCAGTAACACGGCAGCAGTGACCGATGGCTGAGGCCCCGTCCCTTACCCCCTCGACCAGAGGGAGGGAGATGGCCTTCACCGCATGGGGGTCAGCCCTCAGACATGCTCCCCGGGGATACGGGGTTCCCCATCCTTGGGGAGGGCACCACACGCTCT